ATTCTTATTATTATTTTATTTTTTTTATTTTATTTTTTTTTTTTTAAATCAGGCTTGTTTCATTGAAGGCACTTGGTTTCCATGGCAATTTATAAAAGACGGTGGTTTGGTTTCTTCACTTCATTAGAACAGATGACTTAGTTGGGGAGGGGAGAGGGGTGTTCGAGTGGCCGCAAGCAAACTCCGATAAGCCTGTGTAATATGTAAGCCCAGGTCGCACATCCTGGATAGTAATGCATGCAAAAGGAGACGGCATACAGTTATCAAGCATAGCCATGAGAAATGAAACATGAATGTCTTAAAACAGCTCTGATTTAGGGTTATTCTCTAGGGGAGGTGACAGCCAAAGTAGAAAGGGCCTACGTTTATTTAACTCTATACTAAAAACCTTCTTGAAGGGAAAATGAATGCCAGCTCTTCACATACCCTGTTTACAGTGAGGTGTTTCTCTCTCTCTCTCTCTCTTTTTGTTTTTATTTCCTCTCTCTCTCCTTCTTTCTTTTTTTTTTTTTTGGCAGGCCATTAGGTTTCCATGGTAACAAGCAAACTATTCATTTGAAACAAAACCAGCCATGACTTTGTGCTTTGACAAGGGTTTCTATAGCTCTTTTCCAAGAGTTCAACCAGATGCTGTTGTATTCATCATTGACCGCAAAAGCACCTGAAGGTCTCTTCCTTACTTAGGCCAGATCCCGTTCTCACGTGTGGTTCATAGTGAGTTACACTCCTGTGATGCCTTTTATGTCCCCAGTGCTTTTAATTTTTTTTTTATTTATTTATGTATTTATTTAACTTTTGAGTCAGTCAGTGGAGGAATCTTTGGTAGTTTGTTTTTAAATGTCCATTTTACAAAGACTCTTTCTTCATGCCAGTGCCTGGTGAATCTTTTGTAGCCTCTGCCAGGATAAGGTCACCTCTGATGACTTAAGACAGACATGAGGATGATAACTGGGATAAGTCGTATATGCGCTAATGTCCCAACAGCACCTGATCGTAAATCTACAAAAAGGGGGGAAAAAGGTAGAATTAAAGAGCTGCCCAGACACCGTCAGCATCGCTACAAGGCTCAGAAGATAAAGGGCTCAGCCACCATAACCTGTCCTGCGCACCAATGCGGAGGCAGCGGGGCAGGACAACGGGGTGGTGCTCACCCGGATTGTCTTCGCTCGTCACACCAAGTGCCACCGACCTCCCTGGCAAAGCCCTGGTAGAGACCAGGGACAGCACTCTGCAAGGTCACCTCCTACAGACTGGGGATGAGGACGGCACTCTCCAGCCGTTCCCAACGAGGCAGGAGACGTTGGGATAAAAAACCCACCTGGCTGTCTAGTGATGGTCTGTATTATAATGCACACATGAGGCTGGAGGGATGAAAGAAGGTCCACAGGGAATCACAACACTGACCTTCAATAATTTCATATTGTTTGGACCCCCTGAACATTTTTTAATGTTTCTTCATCCCTCTGCCCACCTCGAGTCACGGCCGCCCAGCCCAGCCCCATGGCGGAGTGCAGCCCGCTGCTCTCGCCTCTGCCTAACGCCCACCAGCCTTTCACTTGCATCTCTGCTAAACCAGCAGCTCCCTAGCTGAACAAAGACATTTTGACTCCAGAGCTTGCTTCCAAGGAAAAGGTTTCACTTTAAGCCTCACCAGCTGAACCGACCAATATATTGTTCTCCTGCAGCAAATCCATTTTAGAAGGTGTCTCAGATTTATAACCACGAGGCACAACTTTCTCTCCACCCCGTGTGGAAGAGCCACTTACTGTTGGCCGGTTGGTCTGATTTCATACACTCGCCTTCCACAATTGATACATCATCAATGGCAATGTCACCTTCGATGCCAGGGCCCCGGATCCCTTCAAATATGAGCTGCGAAAAAATAAAGAACAAGCAGAGATCAGAGGGTGACGAATGGAAAATGATCAGCTGCATTTTGCATGGCATTGAACTACATCAAAGGTGGCCCAATCAGTCAATGGGCTTGGACAAATTTACAAACACTTTCTATGGTGCAGAAAATTGCAGCTGAGTTCGCACTTGCTGGTAAGGTGAACACAGAGGATGTGTGAGCTGTGGAGGCTTCTACGCTGCAGAACGAGCTGAAAAATAGCAGAGCTGCTAGTTGTCTGCCTAGTCGTCCGTCTGGTGTCTCCAGGTCAGCTTCGCCACTATGCTAACTGCAACGTGGGCATGTAAGTACGATGTTCCTGGAGCAAAGAGCAGGATTAAACGGAGGAAAAAATTTGAAGAGATCTGGGGTGTTTTTGTCTCAGAAACTGCTGCTACCCGAAGTGAGTGGCAGAGGCGCAGCTTGAAGAACAACATCCTGCGAGGTGTTGGAGGACTGAGTATCCACTTGATCACAGACTGTATGAAAACACACCAGCCGGAAAAACTCCACAGTAAAATCAGGTTTCTGGCTCTCAAAGGTGGCTCAACCAGTCCCTCCCACCTCATCTACCACACTGGCCTCACGCATCTGCACCCTGGTGGCACCTCCCTGTTGTCAGGAGGACAGAAGTTGTCCCCCTGCAACCTTCTCTGGGGGGTACGTTTCCTGACCCATGAAAGCTTGGGAGAAACCTCTCAGGAAGCTGGGTTGGTGTCGTTCACCCATAATGCAAAGCTAAATTTATCACAAGGGGTTGGGAAGGGACTACTTTTGATTTGGATCCCGAGGACCCACAGTGATGTCCTCTGACTACCTTGGTGGATTTCAGCTTCCCAGATCTCCTGCCGTGGCAGAAATTGATGACAGTGACAGCTCTGCTTCCCTCCTGTCCCTTTCAGTGGCTCATCATCATGTCTAGAAGCTTTGATCCCTTCTAGGAATGGTTCTATATTTATCAGAGAATATTATGATGTATTTTATCACAGAGAGAGTCAAGGTAGAGATTTTATTCCTCTTTAAGGCTTTAACCTCTGCTAAATGGATGCCTGTGATTGCAAGGTATTATTAATCACTTTATTTATGTCAAATATTCCTAGTCTGAACCCCCAGCTGCTACACCTGGGAAGGGAAATGGTACCTGTATGGAGATGGGTGGCTTGTTGCAAGGTCAGTCATATTATTTGCTGTAATGTTTGCTAATAGCTATGGATTGCTATTGCACTCAAGAAACAAAGTTATCCGCTTTCCTTCCCCAAACTTGATGTGATGCTGTCCTGCCCTACTGCTGTTTAATTAGCTTTGCAGAAGAGTAGACTCATTCCGTGTTGAGAGAAATTTACTCATTAGAAAACTTCAAAGCCTTTCTAAAGACATGAAGGAATTATGTAAGGAATGTATTTCCCAAGCAGCACCACTTGCGGAGTTATCTCTTTTCCCTCCCCTCTGCCCCGTCCTTTGAAATATTTTTGGTTAACTTAGATGATGAGTTTTTTAACTTCAATCTGTAACAATATATACATGAAATTCAGTGAATTTTATAAGGGCATGCTGTGGCACTAATGGAGGCATTAACTCTTGGGGGTAGAGTTAATTTGGAAAAAAAATAATTAATTCCATCTAGAGGAAAATACTTAAATTACACTTCATAATGATCTAACTGCATCAGGGAGATGTCTGGGGCACTCAGATGGGCTCTCTCTATTGTCACTGATTTCAGCAG